TCCTAAAAAGTCAACACTTGTTACACCGAAAGTACATTTACTTGGTTTGATATTTAACCCGTACTCTGTTAGGCGTTGGAAAAGTATACGGAGATCTTTAAAATGCTGTTCTTCATTTTCACTTGCAACCAATAGATCATCAATATATGTAAAAACAAAATCTAAACCACTAACTACTTCATTAATAAATCTTTGAAAAGTTTGCGCTGAATTTCTTAGTCCGAAAGGCATTCGTATAAATTCAAACCTACCGAAAGGTGTCGTTATTGCAGTTTTATAGATATCCTCTTCTGCCATTGGAATTTGGTGGTAGGCCCTTACCAAATCTAATTTCGAAAATGTATACTTATTTCTGAGATTCATGTTAAAATCTTGAATATGAGGTAAAGGATAACGGTCCGGTACAGTCACAACATTAAGTTTCCGAAAATCACCACAAGGACGCCAGTAATTCAGTTCTTTTTTAGGTACAAGATGCAGTGGAGATGCTACACAAGAATTTGAAGGTCTACAAATCCCTGTCCTCACTAAAAAATCGAATTCAGTTTTGGCTACTTTAAATTTAATCGGATCCAAGCGCCTTGGCTTAGAGAATGGCAGATTTCCTTCAGTAAAAAGTCTGTGAACCGTAGAATGTTTAACCGGTTTCGAATAATCTGGTTCAGCGATCAAAGAAGGAAACTCCTTCAACAATCTTGTATACTTGTTCTCTACTACGAAAATTTTTGGAAGCGAAATGTTACAAACACATGAAACTGTGTTAACCGAAGGACTTGTTACTGGATCAACTAAACATTTGCATTTCATGTCAATTAAGAGACCGTATTTGCAAAGAAAATCTGCACCAATAATAGGTTTCGCAATATCAGCTATGAGAAACGTAAATGGGAACTCGCGTCTTAAACCTAAATTTATATTAAATATCTTTTACCATACGTTGAAATCGTTGAACCATTGAGCTGCAGTAAGTATTATATCTGAAGAACGTTTTGTATGAGGGAATTTTTTTACCGGAAGTATAGAAATTTCTGCTCCACTATCAATCAAAAAATTTAGTCTGTTTGTTTTATCAAAAATAAATAGGCGACGTGTGGTAATATCTAAATTTCCATTGTTTGCCGCCACAACAACGGATGACTCTAGTTTAACGAATTTTTGTTTTTAGAAAAAGCACAAGGCTGTTGACATATCTGAGCCTTATCACCAAATTTGTAATGGTATCTACATAACCAATTTTGACTATCACGAGATTTTGATCGACCTCTATATGGACTTCTAAAACAATTCCTATTATATGATCTATATCTAGAATTTTGATTAATTTGTTGCTTAATAGAATTTAATTCAAAGGAAAGTTTTTGAAAATTTTCGCACATAAGATTCGTCGTTTTAACTAAATTCTCAATAATTGTGTCTTGTGATTTAGAATTTTGAAAACTATTCATAGCTGATATTTCGGTTTTATTAATCACTTCCCAAATATTATCAGCTAGTTTCACCAATTCATTTATATCATTGGTACTTGAACTAGCAAATATCACACTAAGATTTTTTGGCAATTTTCTCAGCCAAAGTTTATTTAAAATATCTTGACTAAAATTGGAACCTGCAAGCAATATGAGCGACCGATAAAATTCAGAGGGTTTACGATCACCCATATCTGAATCTGACAAAATTTTATCTAATTTCTTATTTTCGCTTAAAGAATGCTTTTCAATTAAGACTTTCTTTAATTCTGAAAACTTGTTGTTATGCAGAGGATTTTGAATGAAATCTAATATTGTAACTATTATTTCTTGCGGAAGCGCTATGATTGTGTGTTCATATTTTGTAGTATCTTGTGTAATGTTTTTCATGTTAAATTGCATTTCTGTATGTACAAACCAAGCTTCTGGACAACTTGTCCAAAATTGTGGAAGCTTGACTGAGGTTGCATACACCTCATTATTATTTTGACTAGCATAAGGATTTGCCAACTCCTCTTGAAAAGAGTTGTTTTGCAAATCTATAAGCGAGTCATTTAAATTATTAGTCCCTGTAGATGTGTGTGTATCATGTGGGGGTGAACGAAACATTATGATAACTTAAAATAATCTCTATAAGGAGTGTTTACAATTTATCCGAAACAAGTTTAAATATACGGTACAATGAAAATATATTATATATATCTAATTTAAAGGGGAAAATAATTTTCAAAAATATTAGACAAAAAGATACAGCTCACCACTGTGTACTGAAATTGCTGCTATTAACAGCGACCGGTCGTTGCTTATAGCTGCGGTTGCTTTGATGTTCCTTTGGTTACCGTGCCAGTTGTTACCGTCACTTTCGCTACTCAAATGCTTTGACGTCTTCGGCTGATAGTGATAATAATGATGTGGGGTAGTGCAATACCAAGCTGTGATGGTAATTGTGGGAATTCTCCTAGCTGTTGGTGAGTCGGCGAGGTCGGAAAGAAGTTGGACTATGTCTTGTCACAATAGCCAAAGAAACCATCGGCACTAGGTAATGCAGCAGCAGCAGTAGATATCACAGGTTCTTAATGTTCATAATTCACTTATCGTAGGGCGGTGAACTCGATTGCATTGGCTGTGATGAGGACATTGAGAAAATCAGTTATTGCACATATTGTGGTTGATGATTGAAGCTGTTGAGAGTGAGAGTTTTGTTGCAGTTTCAACAGTTGAACTCCTTGCACCAGTAAAACAATAGGATGGAATTTCACACGCTGATACGATAATCCTGTTAGCACACGGGTAACTCCTAGTGAAATATTTTTGTTGCTGATTTCTTGCTTGCAGTACGTAATAGCTCCTGGCAGGATCGCCAATTGTAGTTAACAATATATAAATTTATTTAAAAAAAAGGTTTAATTTAAAATTCCAAATGAAATTATGTTGTTTACAGCTCAAGAAAAATATTTGAAGTAAGCTAATTTTCTCTTTGATGTTTGAACTACAAAATCATTTAAATATAAAATTTTTTAAATTACAAAGTTGAAATTAACACAGTACAATAAACGACAGTAACACAAATATAAACCCTACACGGGGGTTCATTTTATTTTTCTTTGGAGTGTGGTTTTTACGTGGCGGGTCCCAATCCCAGTTCACAACCTATTGCTGGGGTTCGCCTTTTCACATTAATTCGCTTCCAAACGAAATTTCGGTTGCTACCAAGAAGGTAAGCACCGGACGTCATGAGTTGCTTGAGCCGGATGCACAATACACTCCCTAGTTAATGGCGATCAAAAACTTTCCCCGCATGCGTGGACTTCTGCTCCCGAAACCATTGCACAGTGCACTGCCCCGTACACAAAAGTCAAAAATTTTGATTTTTCAAAAACGGAATTCTGTAATGCCTTTTTATAGAAAATAGATTGACATTTTATGTTGAATGCCCAATTCACACGCATTTGACACATGAAACGGTTCTTTCGCTCCTTAAAAGTAAACACATGTAAAAAAAGTCATTTGGTATGAAAAGTGCATGTAAATTAAGCCAATTATAACTATGCATGTAAATTAAGCCAATTATAAATATGCATGGATAGATGCTGAGAAAAGAACACGACATTATTTCGAGGAAAGAAGATGCTATAAGTCTTCTTTCACGAACGCAAGTTTCAAGAATTCGTATTTGCATTTAAACTTTTACCAAATATGGACCGCTCAGAACCAAGTCTTATAGCAGTTCTTAGTTCTACCAAATGTACTCTTTGCAAGCTTGTTTATATACTTTTCCGCGAACGCGGACCGCCGCCACGTTGGACACATTCAAAAACAAAGGTTGGAAATAAAACAAATTTTGCCTTATTTCCCATTGCTTATTTATACTATTTTTAACAAAAACAGTTTACTGACAGAAGGAAAAAAACTTTGTTTATTCCAAGAATACAATTCAACCAAAAAGGTGATATAATTCATATGAAGAAAATAATATTCACAAAATATTTTTCCTTAGTCTAACAAACTGTAGGGAAAGCGTCGTCTTTAATTACTGCTCGGCAAATCGGACATAGCGCTTTTGTATGCATTTTGTCTGCATGCTTTCTAATATGTTGAAAATATTGCTGCAAAATGCTTAAAATGTTTGCATGGAGCGCAGCATTTAACACAGATAATATTGTTTTGAGTTTTATCTTCAGTTAAAATTTTCCGCATTATCATCACTTGCTTCACTATTTCGGAACTGCAGACTTCGTTTACCAAGGCGAAGCGAACATGTGTGTAAAAATATGTAAAAGTTTACATATAAGAAGGTGGGATGAATGGCGCAATAAACAGGTGAAGTAATAAAACAGCTTTCTCGCTTTATTTTCTGACATTCCGCTGCCTTATAGTCACATTTTATAGGCAAATTTTCAAATAAGGCAGTGTCAAAATCTTTCTTCTCACTCTAATATTACTTCACCTGGTATAATTCCACCATGCGTGGGGTGCATGCAATAACACCAAACGCAATAATTCCCATTACTTAGATATTAAAAAGCAGTTTCAGAAGTGAACTAGTGTCATTTTATTATAATTCTTTTTTCTAAACGGTTTTAATAGGCGTGTTTTATTTGACCAGTTACATAAGCTATTAGCTTATTTTGTATGGAAGACTTAGCCAACATAATTATATTGGCTTGTGACAAGCTATCTTGGCTTGTATATTGAACTAGCGGCATTGCCAGTTGATTAATATTTTTCATTCACGGTAGTTGGATTATTCACACTTTATTGCCAAAAAAAAGTTGTCGTTCACGATATACACCATTTTGACAGATAAAAATGTAAACAAAAAAAAGATAGACAAAAATAGAATATAAAAGAAACGCATGTAAATTTTGTGCCTTCGACAAAATATGGATTAACCAAACATATACACAACTGGTGTAAGTTGAAAATGCCAAATTTAATTAAAGATGCAGTAAGTATTGTTTTATAATTAAACCAAACCAAGTTTGCATACTTTCCAATTTCTAGTTTTTCTGTAGTTGTTCCAGTATACATTACGCTGATGATGAAGAAATAATAGAAATACTAGCTGATGTAGCTGCTGAATCTAGTTCATCGGGGGACGATTCTGAGGAAGAACAGGTAGAGCATCCAAAATTTGTCGGTTTCATCGACGTTATCGATGAGTATGCAGATGACGATTTCAAGTCCCATTTTCGCCTGAATCGAAAAACAGTGGATTATTTAATAAGTAAGGGTTTCTTCCGTTTTACAAATTTTTACTGAAACAGTGTTATATTTCTAAAGCGAGGTATAGTGAAAACGATCAAAATCACAGCCGTACAATGTCTGGAAAGCCCAAAATACCTGCAAAGACAATGATATATATGTACATATGGTACCTAAGCAACACCATAACCTACAGACAACTTGCTAATTGGTTTGGTGTAACGAAATCCACTGCATGGGCAATTGTTCCTCGCGTTGTTGCGTGGATCATTTCAATAGGATACGAGTTTATCAAGTGGCCAACTGGAGAAGCAGTGGAAGATACCACGAGAAAGTTTTTGCAAAGAAAGAAAGTACCTGGTGTCATTGGTGCAATAGACTGCACACATATAACTATTAACGCACCAAAAATAGATAAGCATATATATTTTGATCGAAAACGAAATTACAGCTTAGTTTTACAGGGAATTGTCGATACCGATATGAAGTTCATTGATATTTATTGCCTGGGTCCTACCATGACTTCAGAGTACTTAAGAGGTCAGCGTTTTATAGGAAAGCAGAAAATAGTGTTGAAAATTTGTTTCCAAACTCTACATTTATCCTTGGAGATTCGGCATACCCTTGCAAAAATTACTTAATTCCGGTATTCAAAGATTATGGTTCACTAACAGAACAGCAAATCAGATTCAACAAAATTCATTCGTCGGCAAGAATTGTTGTAGAAAAGGCGTTCGGCTTACTCAAAGGTCGTTTTCGCAGACTTCTTAAGTTTACAGAGCATAAAGATTTATGCGCTGTAACACATTTGGTGGCGAGCGCATGTATTATGCATAACATATGTATATTAAAAAACGACGACACCTTCATCGTTGAAGCAAATGAAAGTGTGGAATTAGAACCAGTCTCTGTGAGCGAAAGTGACATAAGTGGAGATCGTCGTAATGAGTTATTTATTCAGTTATTAAGAGGAAATGTTTGAGCTTAAGCTTGAGTTGATTCAATTGTATTTTATTACAATCCAAACATGTTTTGTTGAAAAAATAAACAGGGAATTCTATTTGAATAGTAGCCACACTATGGCTGCGTTTCTTTATACATACATTCCGGATAATCCCATTTCCCAGCCGGAATAAACAGAATGCGTTTGAAATATACGTTAACATATCATCAGGAACGTTCTAAAGAACAAGTAAACAAAAAAGTTTATTCCAAACGTTCAGAATGAATAAAGAAATGCAGCCTATATTTAATTTTTTTTTTACTTTTTTGTCTGTTTTAATATTTAACCTTTTTCTTTTCTAATCATCTCCGCAGCATTGTTGTAGGAGTTTTAATTTTTCCTCCTCTATTTTAAGTTTTTTTTCCTCCAACTCTAGCTGCAAATCACGCTTCTTCTCTAAATTTTGCAACATACGCTGAATATCTGCATGGAATTTTTCTTTCTCCTCACAGCTTCTTCTCTTCAGCTCAAGTTTATTTTCAGAGTAACGATCCCTGGCCGTTTTTCTAACACGTGTGCTCGCAGCGGGCGTACTCGGCTGTAAATTGTGGCTTCGCGTTGGTGTGTTCAGCGATTGCGTGGAGGTACTCAGTTCTTGAAACTGACTTGAGGTGCTCGGTTCAGGGATTGGCGAAACCCTAGTTGAGTCTCTTAACAGCTCGATGGCTAATTTTAAAAGAAAAAAAATTCAGTTACAATTTTATATCACAGTACGAAAAAGTCTTTCAACTTACTACATGTTTCTATTAATGTCCCCTGAGGATCTGTTCCTAGGTTAATGGTATGATTATTTACAACCAAACAACTCTCACCAAAAACTTCGTCCATTTCTGTCATATATAGTATAGTGCGAGGAGCAGTTCCTGTTTGCCTTTCATTGTCTTTGGCAGACTCGTAGGCTTTTAAAAGCGTACGCATTTTCGCAAAAAGTGCGTCTGTGGTAACCGTTGTATCCTAAAATACAAATATGTAGGTAATTTAATATTAAATTAAATATGCACAATTCTTACCACAAAACCTTGGAAAATCATATCTTCCAAAACATTTTGATATGCGTATTTTTTTTTACGTGCATGAAGAAATTCTTCCTTCCTTTCCCCATAGCATTTAAGGAAAAGGAGCGTCTCCGCCCTCGTCCATACTTTGCTTGCTATAATTAAACAAAAAAAGTAATAATAATTCATTTATGAAAAATTATGAAAATAACCTTTTTCCCGTGTCAGTCATCGTTAAAGATTTTTCTAAATTGACAACTCGTTAGAGATGTGTAACACAGCACAGTGCTGTGCTACTGTGCTGACACTCGTCAATGTGACGCACGCACAGGCGCACTTTTCGATTAAATTATATCACAGTAGCACACTTGGCACAATATGAAAGTACATCCTGGGCAGTGTTTTTAGCACACTAGGCCATGATTCAACAACTACAGGTTGTATCAATCGTACAAAAACAACATTTACCGTTGGTATGAACTCGTTGTGTCAACTACAGCTTCTTTATGTATTCATATTCGTATGTATATGTATACTCTGCATACCAGGATTTCAGAGTATTCTGAATGGTTTCAGATTTTTTTTTAAAGAATTTTCTTTAAGAAATCGTACAGAAATTTTTTTACCAGTTCTTGTCAACCGCTTCATATGTTTTTCTTTAAAGATTCCTAAAAGAATCTAAAAGATCTAAACCTTTTCTACTTGATATAAATTTCATTCTACATATATTTTTTAGCAACTTAAGTAAAGTTCGGCATCCGCCAGTTTCTACAGCCATACATAAAAAGAAATAATGAAGTTACTTTATTGACGCATTGCTATGAAAGAGTTACTGTTTAACAGTGAGATTTGGCTAACTTTCAATTTTTTACTGAAACCGGTGGTGAACACTCAAAAAACGGCCCTAAGAGGGGCATAACATGAAAGAAAAAAACGGAGTCGATTTGAAATCAAGCGGAGTAGAGGAGTAGATTTAAAATTTTTTCAAAAATCGCAGTAAATCTAATCTCTTCTTAGTGAACTCCAAACACAAGTAGGGGACACATTTTTTCAATTTTAACGCTAATGACCGACAGATGGGGGGAAAACACAGGGTTGTATCAGACTTTCGACGTGGTTTCGAGTTGGTTAGCTTTTAACCATCTCAGTGAAATGGTTAAGTGCTGTCATTTATATATGGCGAAACTACGCTAAATCAAGGGGGTTATCGGGATAACCAACTCAACAGTCATAACTACGTGGTTAGCTCCAGTGGGGACAAGGTATTAAAGATTTCGGGAACATTTGTTTGCAGGGTATATATTTACGTGTATGTGTATGTATACGCGGTTATGTAAACAAAGCAAAACAGGCGATCATTTGACACAACCGTGCTCGTTTTTGAAAAATGCACTAGGCCTGGGTAGCGGCGCAAATTTTTTGGTGCTGACACACTAATTCCAGCACCACTGCCGAAATCAGCACAGTGTGTTGGCGCAACTGCGCCTCTTCAGGCTAAAGCTCATTTCCTTTATTGCCAAGGTGAATTAATACAAGGTGGTATCGGTTGAGCAAAAACAACGCAAGTATACCTAAGTTCAAAACCCAAAAATACAACAAACACATAGTTTTCATATTCAGAAGGACCGCGGCTAATTCTAGCAAAACCACCTTGTAAAAATTCACCTTGTGCTGCACATTTTACAAGTGACACTTCTCCTTTGTGTGTTCTTTGCTGGTTCTTGGCGACGCCCGGTATTGTCTGTGTTCTGGTGTTGCTGGCGCCATTGGGTTACTGAGTTGTGAAAATCAGTATTAGCGCCAAAAACTCAGCTCTCGGTATCAGCGCAATGGCTATAGCACACTGTGCTGTGTGGATTGTTCTCGCCGCCAATAATCGCAAAACACAAGGAAAAAGCAAATTCGAGCGATAAGTCATGGAGCAAGGCGGATGTATACATAATGGGCCGAATGCATAAAAACTAAGCAATTTCTTTTTCTTAAAATTTCATACGCTTGACTTAAATTTATTTAAACAAATCCAGTAAAAGGTGTGAAATTTTAAGAAAAAGCATTTGCTTAGTTTTTATGCATATAGCCTAATGTATAAATTCGCCTTGTTATGGAGTTTCTTGATCGATTTTGAATAGGTAGCAATAACACAATTGTTCCAACACAGTGTGTTAACACTTCATTGTGTGCATGTGCTACTGTGTCAACACACAAAAAATTGTGCCATTACCCACCTCTACAACTCATACAGTATTGCCAGCACACACATATCAGGTGTTGCCAGCATAATTTATAACTAAGTCATGACAAATTAAGCTAGATTCGTTTTATTTGACCCAGATTAAGCTATTAGCTTACCGCGCTCAAATAAAACACGCCTAATGCCACCAGTGCATAATTGCGAAAGGAGGGGAGGGGGCGGGGGACGCGAGCACGACGTGGTGTGATGCGGGGCGGCGAGCGACCGCGGACCGCCACGACGCTGGGCACTTTCAAAATTGTATACTTACAAATCCGCCCATTTAACTTGTTCGTGTATTACTTTTTGTCAATTGTAACTGGGTGACTATTTATTAGAGCTCTTGTTAATCGACTAACCGATTAATCGGTTAATCGAATAGAAAAAGTTGTCTCAAAAAATAATCGAATACCATTAATCGATTAACCGTTCACTTGGACTAACCGTTCATAATCGACTAGTTGTTTTCATTCGATTACTTGCCAGATTCGACTATTCGAATAGTTATCTTCGTTCAATATTTCATAAGTTTTGCGGTTCATCGGCTTTGAATATTTATAGTACCAAAAATGGTGTGGTACTGCATGAATTATGATGGAGATGAATACGTGACTTATAGCAAAATATGCAAAATTCAAAGTGAATACATTGTAATATATATTTTTCTGTAAATACATACATACATATACATTAGTCAAAAGAAAACATATTATATATTGTATTATTATATTATTATATATTGCAGACACATATAATTGGTTTTTTGTGATTGAGACAGTTTAAATAGAAAATAACGTTTTTCTGTTATCAAATGAAGCGAAAATAAACTAAATAATATTAAAACAACATTTATTTGTTAACATATTGTAATTTTGATTGATTTAGTTTAGTGAGTATTCATAAAACATTTATTTTGATATACGAATGTCAACATATGTACATTCTGCGGAAGTAAGCAACTTCTGCGTGCTGTAACAATGTTACCCGCGCTTGAAAATGTTCTTTCTGATTCTGCTGAAGTTGCTGGAATAGAAAGATATCTTTTAGCAATCTCAAAAAGTTACGGATAAATCCCAGAGTGATTTGTCCACCATATGAGCGGATTGACGTTGTGCCCAATTTGAGGCTCAGCAGCATAAAAGTCCAATTGAGTTTGCAAATCACTATGGCTGCTTTAAAGTTGAAATAAAAAGTCCAGTTGAGTCTTTTGAGAAATCTGCTGTGGCTCATAAAAATCCAAATTATGGTTTTGCAATAAAGAACTTATAAAGGAAACCACCTTAACCTGCGTTTAACCCGGGCTTGGTTCGGCACATTCACTATTAGCTACATCTGTGGTCCTGGGGAGGATAAACTATGGAAAATTACCACTTATTAGTTCGTCAACATAAACATATATTTCCAGGTCCTGCTCCTTGTCCCTCTTATGAATGGCCTTCAAATGGGTTGCCAAAGACGATGTCGAATTACACTGTGGAACAAATTCAGGATAGCAAAAGTTAGGTCGATTCTGAGAGCCTCACTCTGAATAGTGAAAATAGGTCAAAATAGAGGCTAAATTAGAAGACCCGTATCGCGGCGTTTGTTTATGTTAGTTCCAATTTTTTTTAATCGACCTTCGAACTTTGCAGTCAAATGCCGATTTTCAGCATACTGTTTATATGGTTTTTTGGCTATAACTCGTCGACTAATTGATATTTTTTCAATATGTTAAAGCCAAATTATTGCTAGAGACCTGTGCAACAATTAAAATTAAAAAAAAATTGATTTAGATAATTTTTGTAGTGCTTATGAAGCAAAATGTTGGACATTTTTTTTTCATGCTTTTTGAACATATTTTCCACAAAACTAAGTATTTTTTGCTTTCTGTTTGATCTATAATATGCTTCTCAGTTTCTTCAATAAATTTAATTTGAAAAGAAAACAATTATAATACCAAACTTGCGTTTTCCAGCTTAATATTAATTTACTTCTCATTTCTTATGTACCAATTTTTTCAGTGTTGGTTTTGAAGAAACATTGAAAAAGAAATTATAAAAGTATGGAAAAAAATATAATTTTGAAATGTTAGTTATGAAAAGTTTTAAGCAAAAAAATTAAATAAATTAAATTAATGATTTGACCAGTTGCCGTTTAGCAGGCGGCTGTGTATCAACATCACTGCTCTCTCTAATATCTTAGTCATCGTCATCATCATCAGAAAGGTCGATAATTTTGTCCAACAGATATTTCTGGTATTTCATCTTTGTCTTCCCCTTCTTCCTCTTTTTCCTCGTGTTCCTCTTCTCAAAGGTGTTTTTATACCACCAACAAATTTCAGCGAGTATTGCATCTGGAGATTTCTTTCCTCTGTACCTGAAACGAAAATAGTTTTCAATCGTTAACATGTTTAAATTGTGCACTCTGACAAAGATATTAAAAAAATCTAGGAATTCAAAATATGCACACTCTATAGTTACCTTATTTCAAATGGAAGCGCAGTTTGGTGATAACGTTCGCCTTGCTCATCAGATTCAGTTGGCAACTGTTGAGCGAGTTGATCAAGATGCTGATGCAAGAGATGAATTTTGTACGACATATTAACCCC